GAGAGAGCGTGATCCACCGCCGCTTTACTGTGGAAAATTGCCAACCTTTTCCTCCGGAACCCGGGGGTCTCCCCCCCATCCCTCCGAAAATCCCCCCCCCCTGCCGGAACCCCTCCCCCTCCCCCCCCCCCCTCCCTCCCGGCAAACCCCCCCCTCCCCTAACCCCCCCCCCCCCCCCCCCCCTCCCCCTCGAAAACCGGGGGGTCACTACCGGTTCGAACCCCTCCCCCCCCCCCCCCCTCCGGATCCGGAAAACCGGGGGGGGTCACTACCGTTGGAACCCCCCCCCCCCCCCCCTCGAAAACCGGAGGGGGTCACTACCGGTTCGACCCCCCCCCACGCACCGCCAGCAAACGACTCCCGGTCCCTACCACCGCTCGCATCACATCCCCCACTGTTGTTCCCAGCACCACTGTCCTCACCACCACTGTCCCCACTGGTTCCACCACCGTCCCTATTGTCCCCACCAATGCCCCCACCACTGTCGCACTGTCCCCACTGTTCCCACAACTGTTCCCACCACGGTTCCACTCTCCCCACTGTCTCCACGGACCCAACCACTGCCTATCCCCACTGTCCCCAGTGTCCCACTGACTCCTCCGCTGTCCCACTGAGCTGTCCCACTGTTTCCACCACTGTCCCCACTGTCCCCACCACTGTCCCCACTGTACCTCTGTCCCATTGTCCCACCGCCGTCCTCGCCACCGCCTTTACCAGTGTCCCCACCACCATTGTACCCTCCACTGTCCCAGTGTTTCCACCTCATTCCCACTGTCCCCACACCACTGTCCCCACCACCACCGTTCCCACCACTGTCCACTGTCCCCCCTGTTCCCACCATTGTCCCCACCACTGTCCCCACCACTACCGTCCCCACCACTGTCCCACTGTCCCCCCACTGTCCCCACCACTGTCCCGCTGTCCCCTCACCACTGTCCCCACCAACACCGTCCCCACCACTGTCCGCACCCCCACTCGGTTTTCGAGGGGGGGGGGGGGGGGGTTCGAACCGGTAGTGACCCCCCCCCTTTTCATGATGAGCTGGGGGGGGGGGGGAGGGGTTCGAACCGGTAGTGACCCCCCCCGGTTTTCCGGAGGGGGGGGGGGGGAGGGGTTCGAACCTGTAGTGACCCCCCCCGGTTTTCCGCCAGCAGCGGTAGAACACGCTCTTTCCGATATTACGCACGCCATTGACACATGCTGTTGTCGTTCGCGTGCGCATTGGCACACTGGTTCGCTTGCGTCGTCTTCCAGCACGTCTGCCAGCCCCCGCTCGTCCGCGCTCGCGCCTCGCGGGCCACGATGCGCACCCCTCCTGCTTCACCCCACCCCCTCTCCATCGGGGGTGGACAGGACCCCCAACAGTGACACGTCGATTAGTGAATTGTCCGTTTTCGGTTCTCGAGAGGGCGTTGTGGCCGTGATTCTCCAGGCTTGCGCCCGCCAGGTTTGGGCCTCAGGTCGTTTTCACTAAACCATGTTTTGCTAAAGGGCGGTCTGTCCATCCCCGACTCCAGCGCACCCGGGAAACATCAGCAAGACCTAAAATTAAGTCGGGCTTGTCCCCCTACAGGGGGATTTTCGACGAAACATAAAAAATGCCCCAAACATAATCAAAAAATAGTCCAAAAATAGTTTGGGGACTACTTTTTTACTATTTGTTTACCTTTTTGGGGTATTTTGGGTGTATTTGTTATTGTTCATCGAAAATCCCCCTGTAGGGGGACACGCCCGACATAAATCTAAAACAGAAAGTATTCGAAGATGCGCGCAGAGTTCCTGGGTCGGCGACTCTTCATAGAGTTCGATTCAAATCCCCACGCACCCGGCGCAGTACATGCCGAGCAGGGGGTGGCGGACCGTCTCCCCATCCCATCATCTTAGGGGGATGCGAAGTACTGGGAGACGGGACGAGGTGGGCATGAGTTTGCATGACAAAGCTGGCCCACAACCTACAAGAAGCATAATGCGTAGTTTCTACGCCGGTACACAAGACTGATCCACTAACAGATCTAGTACAGTTTCCCTTCATTCGCATCGACGTCCTGCAAAGCAGCATGCTCTCTCTCTCTCTCTGTCTCCTCATCCCACGCAAAGAAGCGACACGGTCGGTTCTTGCCGTGTCGACGTGGCGGCGACCCCGTTGCGGGCATTCCAGGTTGAATGCCGCCAGTGGCCCAGGATCGGCCGATAATGGACGATCTGGCGATCGAGGAACAGCCGATCGTTCAAGTTTGAACGGCGTCAGATGCCAACGCCAGGGTCGTCACGACACGAACCTGTCGTTCCCGAAAAAGAAAACGAGCAGGCCTTTGCTGGGCTCAACCGGGGGGGAACTCGCGGGCCACAGCAGGGGAGGAGGGAGGAGGAACTGGAAGCGGAGGAGGAGGGGGAGGAAGAGGAGGAGGAGGCGGGAGGGAGGCAGAAACCGCCGATCGTTCAAGGTGGAACGATCCGCGCGCATAGCTTCCTGTTTGTCAACGCGCCTCCCAGAGGTCCTGACAGGGCGCTTCCCAGCGCTCCCCCCAGGGCGCCCGCCAGGGCGCTTCCTAGCGCCCCCTCCCAGGGCGCCCACCAGGGCGCTTCCCAGCGCCCCCTCCAAGCGCCCCTCCAGCGCTCCCCCCATGTTGCCTCCCAGAGCGTTTCCCAGGGCGCCTTCCAGAGCGTTTCCCAGGGCGCTTCCCAGGGCGCCTGCCAGGGCGCCTCGCAGAGCGTTTCTCAGGGCGCCTCTCAGGGTCCCAGGGCGCGTTCCTGGATGAGGGCGCTTCCCAGGGCGCCTCCCATGCAGGGGGCTCATCAGGGCGCATCCCAGGGCGCCCCCCAGGGCGCATTGTCTCAGGGCGCCCCCCAGGGCGCATTGTCTCAGGGCGCCCCCCAGGGCGTTCTCCAGTGCGCTTCCCTGGGCGTTCCCCAAGGCGTTTCCCATGGCGCTCCCCTCGGCGCGTCCCAGGGTGCCGCCCAGGGCGCGTTTCGGGGCGCCTCCCAAAGTTCACAGCGGTCTTCCCAGGGCGAAGCAGGGCGAGAGGACCAGGATCCCGATCTGGTTTACTTTTATTGAACAGGAGAGACGTGCGGACCAGATCCAGGTCCAGTCCAAACGGAATCGTGAACCAGCCCAGGCGGGCTGACCTCGTTCGCACCAGGCCGCGGTTTGGTCCGAAACGCATCGGGAATCGTGTAGGCATGCCGAGGGCCGCGCCGAGCCGAGCCTTCCCCGGGCCGGGGGCCGCGCCGAGCCTTCCCCGGGAGCTCGGCCGCGGGGTGCTCCGGCCTCCGCTGCGCCTCCTGCCCGCCACGCGGGGAGAGGCGAGGAGGGAGGGAGGAGCGAGGAGGAGGGGTGGCTCCCTGGCCCCGAGGCTCCTCCGCGGGGACGTCGAGGCGGTGGTGCGGGCGGAGCTCCGGGCGGCGCTGGGTGGCAGTGCATCGGGGGCGTGGCGAGCCCGCGCCGCGAGCGACGAGCCGAGGCGGACGCGCCGGGGAAAGCGTGCGGGTGCGGCGGCCCTGGTGCGGCCGAGGTGGCTCGAGATGCTCGGGCGGTTTTTCCTGGGCCGTGCTCGGCGTTCCGGCCTCGGGGTGCTTGCCGGCAGCTGCGTCTCGCCGAGGGCGTTCCGGGGGTGCCTGGGTCGCCCCGAACGGCCGCAGGAGAGCGAAGTCATGAACCGAAAGTCGGGGGCGGCAAAGAGGGGGGTAATGACTAGGGGGGGGGATATCATGGCGGGGGCCATGATATTTCCCCAGATTTCATGGCGCCTCTTCTTATTTTATTACGTCCCTGGCCCCTCTTCTTATTTCATGGAGGCACAAGGGGTCCAACCTGGACACGTCGCAGTACTCCAACAGCTCTATGAGGGACACACAGCCACGGTGAGGACAGACGTCAGCAGCAGACCCTTTAGCTTCCTGCGGGGCACGAAGCAGGGAGACCCACTCAGCTCCCTACTCTTCAACGCTCTTCTACAATACATCCTTGGACCGCTGGTTTCCGAATGGCAGCAAAAAAGGAAGGAAGTTGAATTGGGATTCACGAGCACAGCCACGCTGACCAACCTATGCTTCGCCGACGACGTGCTCCTGACCAGCCAAACTCTCCTGCGCCTGACAGCGATGCTTGACGACATTGTGCGCGCGACGAGGCTACACGGGCTCGAACTACACCCAAGCAAAACCAAAATATTGAGCAACAAGACAAGAAGGACCGGAAGGGCGAGCTCACGCACAGCACGTTTCCAAGACATGGACATAGAAATCGTTCCATACGATGGCAGTATCAAATACCTCGGCCAATTCATCAGCTTCCACGAACCGATGGAAACGGAAATCCACCACCGCACGCGAGCTGCATGGGCACCACTCACGTCTCGCAAGCAGGAGGTGACCAGCAAACACTACCCACTTGCTCACCGACTCCGACTTTTCAACGGCACTGTAGCACCAACGGCGTTATACGGAGCAGTGACGTGGACCCTCACGGAGCCTCTACGGCAGCATCTACGACGGACACAACGACGCATGCTTCGCATGATCATCAGAACGCCACGGTGACGCACAACAAAAGAAACCGGCCCTCACAGCAGCCAGGGACCGAATCTCGACGGCGCGAACAACGAAGCACAATACCACGAAGTCCGCACCAACAGCACTAGCGACGACGCAGACAGCAACCCATCACAGCTTGATGCACCTGACACGCCTGACAAGCACAGCGAAGACGGCGAAGACAGCACCACCGCAGACGAAATGGAACCATGGGTCGACTACATCCAGCGATCGACACGACGCGCAGAGCACCTCATGAAGCCCCACCACATCGAGAATTGGGAGACGCTGCACAAACCGAAAGTCTGGCGCATGGCTTCACGAGTCGCAAATCACGACTGGACGAGGTGGGCATGGCGAGTGCTGCGCTGGCACCCAGTCCTCAACCCGCGCCAGCGGGGACACAGGCAGCACGGTGGCCAAAACAAGCGCTGGGACGACGAAATCACCACTTACTTACCTCAACGCAGACCAGATCTTCACCGACCGCCCACGCAAGCCAATTCGAAAGGACTACCGAACGACATCACATGGACGCAAACAGCCCGAGACACCGAAGCATGGACAGCGCTCGAGCACCACTTCACCAACCTCACGTCGACCAACACCCGGGACTCATACCAATGACGTAATCTCGCCCAACCCGCGCCGACACCGACACCAAGGACTTTCTTTTCCTCCTGCTCCCCCTCTCCTCCTAACTTTTTACATGTCTCGCATTGCATGAATCCAGAAACCTCAGATCCTAGAGGCCATGGCCTCACCCACCTGGTCTGCTCTAGGCTTGGACGCTGTCCGCAACGGTGGTCGCATCGCATCGCATCGCATACGTCCCTGGCCCCCCCGCCAGGCCGCGCACATGCTGCCGGTCATGAGTTGCATCCCCCCCTCTTGGACACCCCCCTCTTGGCCGCTCCCGAGAAAGCCAGGGAGGCAGCGTCGGGGGGAATCGAAATGGGCACGGGGAGAATGGGCACAATGACCGACAGCAGTGCGTGTCCATGTGGAACAGGGCTCGCTGTCGGCGTCGCCGCGACAGTTGCCCACCTGAGACCGAAGGCCGTCTGCCGCCGCTGTCGGCTTGGGACAACATGTGTTGTTGGGCATCGTACCCAATTTTTGCGTACCCGTTGAGGCGATCGCAAACAAGGATCAAGGGGGCGTGGATGAGCAACGGGTCCCGTTTTTTCATGAGAAATCGCCAATCGCAGATCCCTGCCGCAGAACGAGGCGGCACCGGCTGCATTTTGGGGAGGGCACCTCCCCCGATCCATGGACTCGGCGACCGCACGCTGGGTCTTCGACTGTTCTTGACGGTCTTTGATGTCCTTGGAGCTCCTACGAGCTTGGAAGCTGCCGGCGGTTTTCGGAGATCGGCGTCGGCGTCGTCGCCGCCGCCGCCGTCGTTGTCTTCGGCGTCGTCGTATGATTCGAGGGTCGTTCGATCGAGGCTCTTACCCCATTTCGGCCTCCGCCGGCCGCTTTCAGACTCGGGGACTGCAAAAATTGGTCGGGGATGAGAACCTGTCCCCAGGGAAGGGGTTGAAACCTCCGCCGTCTTCGCCGTCGTCGTCTCCGTCGTGGTCATCGCAGTCGTCTGGATTGTGGTTGTGGTTGTCTTCGTCGCCGTCGGTCCGCCACCGTCGTCGCTTTGGCCGTCGTGGTCGATTTCGTAGAGGTCGTCTTCGTCGCAGTCGCCGGTGTCACCGTCGTCTGCCCCGTCGTCGTCTCCGTCGTGGTCGGCATCGCCGTCTTGATCGTGGTCGTGGCTGTGTCGCCGCCGTGGCGTCATCGTCGCCGCCGTGGTCGTGGCTGGGTCGTCGCCGTTGCCGCCGTGGTCGTCGCCGTCGCCACCGTGGTCGTCGCCGTCGCCGTCGTCGTCGCCGTCGTCGGAAGGGCCGGACTCCAGCTGCGGTGGAAGGGCGCGACCGAGAGCGACGGCGGCCCCGATGACGCCTGGGCCTCCAGCGAGCCGCAGCAGGCCCAGACCTCCGACGTCTGGAGCGAATCATCCCCCCCAGGATCCAGACTCGGGACGATCGAAATGGGTACGACGACCTCGGTGCGACGACGACCTCGGTGCAACCGAGCGGGCGTTCCGCAGGCTGTGCTCGGCTTTCCAGCCTCGGGATGCTTTCCGGCAGCTGCGCCTCGCCGAGGGCGTTCGGGGTGTGCCCGGATCGCCCCGAACGGCCGCCAGAGAGCGAAGTTATGACCCGAAGACCAGGGGGGCAACGTCAGGGAGGATCGACATGGGTGCGGAAGGAGTGGGTACGAAGACCAACCGCAGTTCCTGCTCACTTTGGACAGGGCTCGCTGCCGCGCCTGTCCAACAGCGGCTGCTGTCGGCTTGGGACAGCATTCGTTGTTGGGTATTGTGCCCAGTTGTTCCGTGCCCATTTCGGGAGTCCAAACAGACCGCCCAAATGGGGTCGAAGTAATTATGGTCGGGAACAGTCTGTTTGGCGTGTCGCGCTGCTGGTTCTGGGCCATCACGCCTCGGCGCGACAGGTTGACCACGTTCCCATTTCCGAGCGTCTGAGTCCCGAGCTTTTCCCAGCCTCCCGCCACGCAGGGCAAAACGACACGCTATCCGCTCGCAAAGCACAGCGTGTCGCCGGGGCTCCCGCCGCGACACACTACGCAAAAGCTTCTGACCGTAGATAGGGTCGATGGATCGCGCCGCATCGCTAATGCTTCGCCGATGCGGCATGCGTCGGCGATGCGGCTCGATGTGGAGACCGATCTTCTCCATACCGACGTCGCCGGTGCATTGCCGACGTCGCCGACGCATCAGAATGCGTGGGGGCCTCCATGAGATCAGGACGTTGCGATTTCTTTCCCATGTGGGCGTCTTCTCCTCGGGATCTCGGGGCCTCGGGGACCTCGCGGAGCAATCCGACCCGACGGATGCCACCGAAGGATACTGGCCGTCGCCGCCGTTGACGTTCACGGCCATCCCGATCCTCCACCCCGCGCCCCATCCTCAGGAGGGGAAGAAACACACAAACACATTAATTGTTGATCACCCAGAAAATATGGGAAAATATGTGAAGTTGGGGGGGAGACGAAAACCCAGAAAATATTGGAAAATGTTGGGAATCCTTGGATTTGTGTCTATTTATGTGTGTGTGTGTGTCCATGGGCCCCTTGACATCCCCCACCCCCCCCCTTCAACCCACCGCCACCACCCCAATCCCCACCCCCCACCCTCGGAGACTGCCAACGCCAGCCGGCCAACCCCCCTTGGCCCAGGAGCACTTGAGCTTCAAAATTGCCATCCCCCCCCCCCGACGGCGCGCCCATGCCCCTCCCAAACCCAAGAGGGTGGGGCGATTAGGGCTTGTTTCTTTGAGACTCAGGCAAGTTTACTCGCACGGCGTTCGCCGCCCTCGCCCCCCCCCCTCGCCCCTCCTTCCAACGAACATTAGCCCCCCCCACCCTCCCCCTTCACCCCACCCACCCCCCCACCCCTACCCCTGCGCCCGCGCCCATGCCCCCCCCCCCCTACCCCACCCCCCCCCCTCCTCGCCCCTCCTTCCAACGAACACCAGCCTGCAGGTGCCTTTCGACGTGCGTGATTTCCGCACGCGCAGGTCGCTTGCGGCCTGCTTCAGGTTCAGCCCCCCCCCCCGTCCATGCAAGTAAATTTGCCCGATTGTTGTTTTTTTTTGTTGGTGAATTATTTTATTATGAAGGAACATGCGCGATAATGCATGTGCTCGCGACGCCGGATCTCAGGGAAACCCCCTCCGAGGATCGAGGAGGGCTTTTTAGGACGGGGCTGGGCCGAGGACATCCGCCCCAGAGCCTTCCCGGATCGCTCTCGGAGCGTTCCAGAGCGCTCTGAGGAGGCCGCGGCGCTCGAGACATCCTCCAGAGCCGCCAGGTCTCAGAGTTTCTCGATTTTATCGTCGTCCTTGTCCTCGCTTCGTCGAAACCCTCGTCCTGGTTTCGTGTCAATCCTCGTCCTCGTCCTGGCTTCGTCTTAATCCTCGTCCTTGTCCTGGCTTCGTCTTCGAGGAACTCGCGACGTCGCATGTCCGTGAAAACCTCCGGGCAAACCCCCTTCGAGAATCGGCGGCGGAGGGGGATCTCTTGCGCGTCTGCTCTCTTGCAGGAGGCCTCCTGGGGCGGGGGGGGGGCCCTCGCGGTCTTTTCGGCGGGGCGCGGGCGCCCAGGAGGCTGGCCAGGGCAGGACCCGGCAGTGGTCTGGGGATCTATTCTTCAGGTAGGGCATCGACTACAGAGTCGATTCGCCCCAGAATTGATGTCCCGTCGAGTCTACGACGCACACGTACCATGCCCCGTAGATCTGCTGACTATTCTACGTCTGAGGCCTCCTTTGGGGAGGGGACCCTCGCGGTCTTTTCGGCGGGGCGCGGGCGCCCGGGAGGCTGGCCGGGAAGGACCCTGCAGTGGTCTGGGGATCTATTCTTCAGGTAGGGGATCGACTACAGATTTGACTTGCCCCAGACCTGGCTTTCTCGTCGAACCTATGATTGAAACGCAGAATAGTCGGTAGATCTACGGAGCATTGTGTTTCGTAAGTTCTATGGTACATCGATTATGTTGTCGATCCCCTACGCGAATTCTGAATGGTTTCGGGGCAGAGCCCTTTCTCTTGTGATGTCCGACCAGACTTCCTCCAGCCCTGTTCTTCCTGGCCGAATCCAGCCTTCATGATACAGGCAGCCTGCATAGTAAGGATGGGCAACCTTCCAACAGATACCCTTGCATCCTTGCCTCCTCGGTCCATGCTTGGCCACTTTCGTCGGCCGCGCCCCGCTCGAGAAGCTTCGTCATGAGCGTCCAAGACCCTTGCATCCGTATCGCGCATCCTTAAGATACGGGCCGACTGCAATCTCGGCACCGCCCAAGCATGTTGATATTGTATATAGTTGGTCACAGGGCCAGCGCGCACGATCGGACATCCTATAGCACGAGCTCTTAGGCGGGCGTGTTCTGGCCATGCCTCTCGTGACGCGGTATATTCACACTGCAGGGTGTTAGCCAGTGTGGACCCCAAACAGTGTGCGTCTAATATTAGATTGCAACGCATAGTGTGCAATCTACGCGGTGCACCCTATGTTGCGCAATTCATATATACATATATACCTACATACAGACGTACATACATACATACATACATGCATGCATGCATACATATATATATATATATATATATATATATATGTATGTCTGTACACACATACAAACATACATACATGCATGCGCGCATGCATACACATATTTGCATACATACATATCCGCATGCATACATACATACATGCATGCATACATACATACATGCATACAGACATACTTACAGACATGCATGCAGGCAGGCATGCATACAGACAGACATACATACATACAGCATACATACCTGCAAGCAAACAAACACACAACATAAACAAACACACACACACACACAAATGTGTGTGTATCCCTGGGGGGCAGGCCCGCGGCCCCTGAACAGGTGCCTCGACCCCCCATGGAAGGACCGGGAGGCCCTGGGGCGCCCCTGGAGCGCACAGATTTGCCCCAAGACCCAAAGAGCGCTCCAAGACAGGCCCAGAGAGCTCCAAGTTGCCCAAGATGGCCCCAAGACAGCCCAGGAGGCCCCCAAAGCGCTCCAAGAGAGCCCCGAGAGGCCTCCGAACAGAGCCCCAAGAGGCCCAAATCGCCAAATTCTTATAGGACGGCGTGTGTATGTTTGGCATCTACGACTTTTCGGGCTTCCGACACTCCAAGACGGCCCAAGAAGCGCCTAAGACCGCCCCGAGACGGCCCAAGAGGCCCCCAAGAGGCCCCCAGTCGGCCCCAGACGGCCCAAGAGTAGAGAGCCCCAAGATGGCTCGTGGACGGCTCCAGAGGCGCCCAAGACAGCCCAAGACGGCCCTGGAAGTGCCCGAGACGGCCCCATGCGGGCCCCAGGAGGCCTGCAAGAGGGCCCAAGAGGCCCTCGAACGCCTTGTACAGAGGCCCCAAGAGGCGCCTAAACAGGCCCAAACAAGGCACAGCGAGGTGTCAAATATGCTTGCGAGTGACCCACAGATTTCTCAAGATACTTCGAACACGTCCCTCAATTAGGGCAAGCCTCTGGAAGTCCAGACCCTTTCCCTGGGTGAACCGAACGTCATCCCGAGTCGTTGTTTGACGGTCCTGGGGCCCGTCAAGGGCTCCCAGGAGCCAAAACAACTTCCAGCCTTGATGTTTGAGCGACACGAGCATGTCTGGGCTATTGCGCTCGCCTTTCGGCCCCTGCTTCCTCCTCGGCTGGTCCTGTTCGGTCCTCGGGCCCTCGCGCGCCCGAGACGACCCATGGGGTCCTTTAAATATCGCCCAAGGGGCCCCAGACGTCCCCATAAACGCCCGAAGACGGCCCGACGCGGACCAAGACGGCTGCAGATGCGCCCCAAACGGCCCAAGAGGGCTCCAAGACGGGCCTAGGAGAGCCCGCAAAATCGAGACACCCGCCACGAGTGGCACACGAGGACGCCTCACGAGATCCCCAAGAAGCCCTAGCAGACCTCCGAGACCTTCCCAAAACATTTCAGCACAGCCCCATGACGCCCCCCGAAGAAGGCACCACCGCTGCCCAGGGAACGGATCTCGCTACCGGCATCCTTCGACAAGCCTCATCGTCAGCCTCCAACGAACAATGAAAGGTGAAACTAGCAATTCTGCACAGCGCGTTCTGGCAGGACCCTTGCGGAACACGCTGGACGAGGAGGAGGATCACGAGGAGGAGGAGGAGGAGGAGAAGGATGATGCTGAGGAGGAGGAGGAGGAGGAGGAGGAGGAGGAGGAAGAAGAATGCGGACCGAAAATCCGACACTTCTGGCCCCAGAGGCTCCCAGGAAGCCCCCGAAAGCCCACGAGAGGTCCCAGGCAACCTCTGAGTCCGGCCCAGGACGTCCAGACACGGCCCCCTTGCACGGCCCAGAGGTGCCCGACACGGCCCCAGAAGTTCGAGACGGCTCACTGGCAGTCTCGAACGAGCAGCGAAGACAGGAACCAGCACGTGTGCACAGCGCCTTCCGGCAGGACCCTTCCGGAACACGCTGGAGGAAAAGGCGGGCGAGGAAACGAAAAGAAGAGAAGGAGGAACCGAAGGCGGAGGAGGAGGTGGGTTTGGAGGTCCCCCCTTCCAACAACGGTCCTGCTTCGGGCGCCTCAGGTGCCCACAAGAAAGCCACGAAGATTTTTGACGACGCAGGTCTGGAGATCCTTGCGGGGCACGATTTTCGTCAGGCATGTGCCGCAATATGTGGGCGCGCGCGACGCGAACCCTCCCTCTGAGCCTCTCGGCGGGGCTTCTGCGGAGAGCGATGCGTATCTCTGAGCCCGCACGCGGGAGCCCCTGTGGACCACGGTGCGCGTCAGGGGTGTGCCAACATGGGCGGTGCAGCGGGATACCAACCTTGTCTCTGGGGCCGTCGGGCGAGCTCCCCGTGAGCACGATGCACGTTTGCCGTGAGTCCCAATACGCCGAGGGCGGAAGCCCCGATGGGCGGGGAGATGCCGTGTGAGTTTTGTCCCTGACCCCGTTAGTGGAGCTCCCAGCTTGGAAATGCTTTGCGCCACATTCCCATCGCAGCTGGTTTCATGCCCATGCTTTGCATGGCGCAGACACTGGCCATGAGCGTACAAGACTACCTCTTGGGGCCATCTTGGGCCATCTTCGACGCTCTAACCCCTCGCGCCTCCCCCGTCCATACCCAGGGAGGGGGGGAGGGGAGGCAAACCTTTCCGAATGGAAAAGGATGGACCTGGAAAAGGAACCGCTCTCGACCACCTGCGTCCACAGGGCTGGTGGGATTGAGCGATGCGCGGTACGTCACAGACCCTTTGTTCAGCGTCGAAGTACAGTAGCCGCCAGAATATCAGGCAATCGCACGTGAGGGCCACCTGAAAGACACCGCCGGATCGGACACATGCCTGCGAACACCACTTTCGGAATCGATAAGAACCTAGGCGCGCGTAGCGCGCGCGTGGTTCTAGTATATATATATATATATATATATATATATATATATACATATATATACACACATATATATATATATATATATATATATATGTATAGTCCGATTCATTGGTTTGTCATAAGTTTGTCATAAGGCCGTGAAACCCGAAAAAAAACACACACACCCCTCCACACGAATTTGGCTCACCCCGGGCCTCTCGGGCAACCCTCCAAACGACCCGGGAGAACACCACGAGAGCCCGACGACGGCCCCAGAGGGCTCCAGGCGTTCCGGCGCGCTCCCGAAACGACCCCAGAGAGCTCCAAGACGGTCCACGACGACCCCAAAGAAGCCGTCATACCCCCAAGGAAGATTCCAAGAGGCAGAATTCACTGATTATCTGTTTGTTTGTTTTTTGTTAATTTTGGGGTTCTCTTCTTTTCGGCTTCCCGACGTTCAAAGACGGCGGTCTTCTGAGCGTCCGAAGCCGCCTGGGAGGTTCGAAAATCGCCCCACAACAATCCGAAAGGGCTTCCAGGCAGTCCACAAGAGCCCCAAGACGGCACAACAGGATTCTCAGATCGCCTAAGGCCAAAGAGAGCCCCATGACGGCTCAAGATGGCCCCAAGGCACCCTCCGAAGCATTCCAAATCGTGACCTGGTCGTTCAGGAAGACTTCGCTTGGAGGCAGGGTGGCCCGGGGAAGCCCCCAGAGGCCCCCAGAAGACGCCCAGGAGGCCTCCAGAGGGCCTTATTAAGAAAGCCTGAAAAACTGTTGCGAGGCAGAGGCTCTCCAAGGAGGATCCTCCGCAAAAAGAGCTGAGGAGGATAGGGGAGAATACGCAGGGTACGGCGAGAATGGGGAAACAAATTTGGAGGAAAGATAACGAAGAACATGATTGTAACGGGGATGCTGGAATAGGCAACAAGGAGTTATCGCTATATATTGTCGACTTGACCTTCCTGCCATTCCGCCTGCATATGCGTATCTAGATATATATATATATATATATATATATATACATACATATATATATATATATATATATATGCAAGACTGCATTGGCGCTTCGCGCCATGCACCTTGGTCCTTGAAGTTTGGTATATTGGTGGAATGGCAGGAAGGTCAAGCCGACAATCTAGCGATAACTAAGTGTTGCCTTTTACCGCATCCCCGTTACAATCATGTTCTTCGTTATCCTTCCTCCATATTTGATGTTCTTCATTCTCGCCATACCCTGCGCATTCTCCCCATCATCCTCAGCACTTTTTGCGGAGGCTCCTCCTTGGAGAGCCTCTGGGGGCCTCACAAAAGGTTTTCAGGCTTTCTTGACTGGGCGTCTTCTGGGGGCCTGTGGGGGCTTCCTCGGGCCACCCTGTCTCCAAGCGAAGTCTTCCTGAACGACCAGGTCACGATTTGGAATGCTTCGGAGGGTGCCTTGGGGCCATCTTGAGCCGTCATGGGGCTCTCTTAGGCCATCTTGGATCCCTGTTGTGCCGTCTTGGGGCTCTCTTGGACTTCCTGGGAGCCCTTTCGGATTGTTGTGGGGCGATTTTCGAGCCTCCCAGGCGGCTTCGGACGCCCAGAAGACCGCCGTCTTGGAGCGTCGGGAAGCCGAAAAGAGGAGAACCCCCAAATTCACCGAAAAACATAGGAAAATCAATGAATTGTGCCTCTTGAAATCTTCGTGGGAGTGCTCTTGGGGGCCTCTTGGGACATTTTAAAGCGATCTTTGGGGGATGACGGCTTCTTTGGGGTCGTCGTGGACTGTCTTGGGGTTCTCTGGGGTCGTTTCGGGAGCGCGCCGGAACGCTTGAAGCCCTCTGGAGCCGTCTTCGGGCTCTCGTGGGGTTCTCCCGGGTCATCTGGAGGGTTGCCCGAAAGGCCCGGGGTGGGCCAAATTCGTTAGGGGGGCGTTTTTTCTGGGGTCCCCAGCCTTGATTGACTGAGCTGTTCGACTTCCTAGAGGGTCTAGAGGGCGGGCCTACCGTCCTAGAGCGCGGGCCTACCGTCCTAGAGCGCGGGCCGCAGGCAGAATTCCCGAGGGCTCCAATGCTGAAGCACGTGAAGCGAGGGCACGGACACCAACCGACTGCGTCGGAGCCGGTGCATCCTGTCGGGGGCCATCCGTCAAACGAGCAAAGAGGCCGAGCTCTACGAGGCCTGAGGGCCGCACTGCGGCAGCAAAAATGTCGGATGACGCCAAGGGCAAAGGCAAGGAGTGCGAAAGCGACGGCAAGGGAGCCGAGAGGCCAAGCAGTCGCGCTCCAGATGATCAGTGAGAATTCAGGCGACGCCGAGCTGAGAACCCGACCCAGTGGGACACGTCCTACAGCGCGGGAGCTGCCTCTTCAAGTTCCGCGCCGGCCGCGAGACCGCCCGCAGCCAGAGATTTACGGCTGGGCGCGCCCTGGCGCATTGAGGCAGGCGCCGCGCGGCGCCGCGCGGAGGATGCCCACCCGCAGCGCGCACGCACCGACGCGGAGCAGCACGTTGCGGATTCTTCTCTTCCGTGGCAGGGAAATGCTAGGAATATGCGGTTGTCTTGGAGCTGGGGCTCAGGCAATTGGCATGGTGACGACAGCTGGAGCCGCGACGACCGCAGTTGGAGGTGAAAGGAGGAGAACGAGGAGGGAAACACGGCTACGCCGCAGGTACCTCCTCGAGACGAACAACCGCGGTTCAAGTACGTCCACAATGGATGAAGTGAGCCGCCTGGCACTGCGGTGCCATGCACTGAGTGTCCCATCGCGCTGCGAGCCAGGTAGCGGGAGCGCTGCATGCTGGGCGCGGCGCAACGGGCCGCTTTATGAACAAATTCGGGGCGTTGACAAATCGTTGACGCCCACCCGCGCGAGTGGAGCTCGCCCGGGAGGCCGCAGGGGGAGTTGATTCAGTCACACCCTTGCGATGCCTCGGCGTCATTAGCACGTACATGCCCGCAGCTGTCTTGGCTGCGATCAGGAGAAAGGTGCGAGCGCCCGCCCGTCCGCCAGCTGGCCGGCCCTCTCTCTTAGCATCCCGATTACAGTCCCAGCTTAACGGCGTAGTATCACATGTCTCGCCATGGTTACAAGAAGTACATATCCAATCCACCACTTGAACCCAATCACGAGATTGCTACAGGAAGGACCAGAAGGAGAACAGCATGCACATGTTGCCGATCAAATGGGCTACGAAAACTCCCCTCCTCACGGAGAACTGGCAATACAGATATATATATATATATACACACATAGATACATACATACATACATACATACAAACAAATACATATACATACACATATACATATACACATACATATACATATACATATACATATACATATACATATACATATACATATACATATACATATACATATACATATACATGTACATGTACATGTACATGTACATGTATGTATTCGGGTCGAGCCTGCGTCTCCAAGAGAGACACGTAGTGCTAATGTGTCCTGGTGCGCCCCATAGTCAGTGCTGGAGGACGTCTGGGTCTCCGGGCCTCTCGAGGCAAATTTTGGCCCTGGGGTGGTCGAGAGACGGCCAGCGAGGGAACATGAATATCCCAGCGAAGAAGCAGGGGGAAAAATAGACACATACACAAAATAACAGCGATTGCCATGAAAATGTTGGAAACGGCGAAACTACGAAAACACATTTCATATGGAAAAATGCCAGGAATCCTGGAATCTGTACTGGTTCGTTGGTGTCTCCCTGGACGCCTTTTTGATGAATTCGAGAGCTCCAGGGGCCCGCGTCGCGAAAAAGGCACGGCATCGGAGGTCTGGGAGAGCCCCTCATGGGCAGCCAGGGGCGGAGAGACATGGCGCTTTCGCTTCCAGGCACTGCCTCGCCAGGTGTGAGCGGAGGCTCCCCTCAGTCGGTGCCGCCCTCCACCACTCCAAAGAGCTGGATGGGGCTGTGGCACTCCTCCGACCAGTATGACACGCTGCTGCAGGAGGATGCTCCCGAAACGTTCGAGAACATGGCTAGCGAGATGATGCCCGGCATGGGCTCGCCCTTGACAAGGGTCGTCCGGTGTTTGGATGCGTTGTGGTCTTTGCGGGAGGAGCCCCGGACGGGGTGGTGCGCAGAAGTCGTGCAGAGCAACGGTTTCCAGGCTTTCTTCGCGTGCGTCATTGCTACAAATGCAATGGTCATGGTGGGCAACGTGAATCATGATGTGCAGTGCTTCTCTGCTGGAAACGACAAACAAAATCAATGGTCAGCGTTGTTCGATATGTGTTTCTTGGTTCTGTATTGCACGGAATTGAGTTTCAAATTAGCAGTTCACCGCCTCTACTACTTCTGGAATGAGGATACGGCATGGAATTGGTTAGATTTCCTCCTTGTTATGCAAAGCCTGATTGACTTCATCATGCTGGGAGGCGGGGGTGGCGGAGGTAACACCTGGATGCGCACTGTTCGCCTTTTCCGGATCGCCAAGGTGTTGCGCATATTGCGGGTCATCCGATTCTTCACACAGCTCCACTTGATCATGAGCGCTATCATAGGGGGGATGATGTCCATGTTGTGGAGCATGGTTGTGTTCGTGCTTATATTCCTCATGTTTTCACTATACGTTGTTTCTGCTGTGGCCACTTATTTGGAAAACGATGGCGACCTCCGTGCCACAGCTTCAAAAGAACTCATTGAGAATTTCGGTTCGGTGCAGATTTGCATGTTGACCCTCTTCAGCACTATATCTGGAGGGAACGATTGGATGGAGTACTATGACACGTTGGTGCCTACAGGCATGCCGAGCTCCATCTTCGTACTGTTTGTGGCGTTCTCGCAGATCGCTTTGCTCAATGTTGTTACGGGGCTCTTTGTCGAAAGCGCAATCAAATTGTCAGAGCCTGACGTTCACCAAAAGGCCGAGGAACAGTTCCAGCAGGACAAAGAGTACGCGAGGGAGCTCAAGAAGCTCTTCGAGAAAGCAGACAAGGACGGAAGCAAGCGCTTGAGCAGGGACGAGTTCAGAGCCATCTTGGACAACGGTAAGTTGGGCCACTTGTTCAGATTCCTGGGAATCGACCCCGCCTGGTCCAGGAGGCACCTCCCTCTGCTGTTCGACAGCATGGTGGAGCAGCAGCAGATGGACTCCCAGGACTGGGACACGAGGGAGGTGGACCCCCACACGTTTGTCGAGAAGTGCATGGCGCTGCGCGGCGCCGCACGCAGCACCGAGGTCTGGGAGATCCACGACATGCTCTCGCGCATCCAACACACGCAGGAGGCCATCGGGCCCTGGAGCCTCCACGACCCGAAGCTGCAGGCAGGAGACCGACGGTCCTCCTGAGGACGCGCGCTGGAGTCCCAGACAACCGACGATGTGATCTGCTCACTGTGCGGCCCCATGGGTCCCGACCCCATCCCTGGGGATAGGTGTTCCTCCCTGGTCCATGCATGATGGCCTCGAGGCCCGACAAGGGGACCCGGAGGCTAAGAACGCCGGGGTCGAGAAGAATGTTGTTGGTCGCGGCGGCTCGGAACCGAGACGCGGTCGGGGCAGCCGAGGGGCATTGTGGGGCCAAACTTGGCACAACAGGAGCGGGAGAGGCGCGAAGGAGGGAGAGGGTGCTACGGGCTGCGGAGCACGGCGGCGGCTCGGAACCGAGACGCGGTCGGGGCAGCCGAGGGGCATTGCGGGGCCAAATTTGGCACAACAGGAGCGGGAGAGGCGCGAAGGAGGGAGAGGGTGCTACGGGCTGCGGAGCACGCTCAGAGCATGACGTTCTTGTGCGTGCGTGCCAGAGCTCAGCTGACACGGGCAGCAGATGGGAGTAGTGAGACGGCCACTGGACCAGGGAGCGGCACGGACAGGAAATGTCTCCGGGAGATTTGCGCGTGCCAGGCATGCGAAGGGCAGTCTGAAAAGCAAAAGGTTCGTGCTCAGCACGAGGGCAGCGACGACACACGTCGTCATGACATGATCAACGAGCGAAGACCAGCAGCCCAGGACGGTGCGTACTCCACACGGCACGGCCGAACACGACGACGGCCAGGGTCAAGCTCGCCCCAGAGCCGCACGGGAGGCGGCCACGGGTCCGAGCGCACGAGCGTGCGGCCCCGGGGGCACGAGTCGCGCCAGAGGGGGCGTGGCGCGAGCACAGACCCCCGACGGCGTGAGCTCTTCGTGGCGTGGCCCCTGGAAGCGGACCCCTTCCCTGGGGCTGGGGTCTTCCTCCGGAGGCGTTGTCTGCCGGCCTCTGAGGGCCCGGGAAGGGCCCTCAGCGGCCGAAACACGGCGAGGAGCTTCCCGTCGCGATCCTCTGTGTCACTCCGCGAAGGGCGTCGGGGAGCATCGCACACCACGAGCGTGGCGCAGGGCGAGCCGCCGGGTCGTGGAGAGATCGTCGAAGATCGTGCCGTCCAGCGCCACGGTTTGGACGCCCGACATGGGCACGGAAAGAATGGGTACAGTGCCCAACAGCAGTGCATGATCATTTTGAAGAGGACTCGCTGTCGGTGTCGCCGCGGCTTGTTTCCATTTGAGACAGAGGGCCGCCCGCCCAACAGCGGCCGCTGTTGGTTTGGGACAACATTTGCTGTTGGGCATTGTACCCATTCTTTCCGTGCCCATTTCGGGCGTCCAGCGCCACGGGAGCAGCAGCCCAGCCGGGCTGGTCCGGGGACAGCGCTTCGATGATTTTTTGTTGCTATTGTTGCATATGTTTTGGAGGAGCTGTCAGTTCTCTGCCAAACTCCGCCTGTAGGAAGAGGACCTGCCCGACCCAACGCGGGCGGCCAGACACGGCGCTGCGGCCTGCGGAGGGAGAGGGGGGGAAGGGGAGAGGAGAAGACAAGGAGAGCAGAGGAGGAGGAGGAAGAGGAGGAGGAGGAGGAGGCAAGGCTGGAGGGCGCCGCGTCGTCAGCGTCAAGGCCAGGGGGGTGAGAAGAGCACATCGTCGGAGATCTGGGGTCTTCGAGGCATGGAAGGCCATCCCGCTCCTGCCTGCAGCGAGGGCCGTGGCAGATCCGGCCCCTGAGGCCATCCGGTGCCAGCTCCAGGGCGGACACCACTTGCCGCTGGACCCAGCGGCGGAGAACGTCGGTTCCACGAGCGACCCGGCCTACCCCCCTCTGTGAATCGGGCGCGTTTGGTGTGCCGATTGGGCGCATTTGACGCCCCTGTCCCTGAGATTTTGGCGTTGATTTCTTTTCACAACAAACGATTATTTCTTGCGTCGGGTCCTGGGGCCACCACATATTGATCCGGCTCAAAAACTGCGGCAGAAAGATAGGGTCTCGGGCTCCAGTTGCGATGATTCACGATGTTAAATTCTAAACGCTTCGCGTAACCCCACCAGCCCATCCAGAAAAGATGCCCAGAGGAATTGCCTCGATCAGGGAAGTGGGCAGCACACAGAGGAAGGGTCCCCCAGTGCCCCAGTGGAGACCTATTAAAGCGTCTTGGAGGCCTCTTGGCGGTTCTGGACGCCTCTTAGATCGTCTTGGATGCCTCGGAGAGCTTCTTGGGGCCTCTTGGGGGTCTCTTGGGAGCCTCTTGGAGGCCTCTTGGGCGACTGTTGGGGCCTCCTGGGGCCTCCTGAGCGCCCCTTGGGGCCCTCTTGAAGCGCTCTTGGGAGCCTTGGGAGCGCTCTTGGAGCCCTCTTGGGCCATCTCGGGGCCATCTTGAGGCCTCGGATGGCCATTGGAAGCGAAAAGGCGAGAAAGCCAAAAACATGAATTGTCCTAAGGGTTTGGAAGCATGTTGGCCTCTTTTGGCCACTTGGAGCCGTCTTGGAGCGGTCTTGGGGCCTCTTGGAGCATCGTGGGAGCCATCTTGAGGTATCTTCGGATATCTCGAGCCATCTTGGAGGTCATCTTGGGCTCTCCCAGGCGCTCGTGGAGTTATCTTAAGCAGTGCCCCCCCGCCCACCCCCACCCCAGGAGGCCAAAATGTAGCCAAAACCTACGTAAAGTCAATCATGTTGGCATTGTCGCCGAAGCCTTGGAGCGTCTCGGGTGCATCTGGGGGACCTCTTGGCGCCTCTTGGGGGTCTCTTGGGGGCCTCCTGGGGCCTCCTGGCCACCTCTTGGGGCCCTCTTGGGGCACCCTTGGAAGCCTTGGGAGCGCTCGCGGGGCCATCTCGGAGGAGATCGATCAAAGAAGGGGGGGTCCTCAATTAGCGCCCCCACCCCCCCAAGAGGCCAACATGCGGCCAAAAACAAATGATTTTGGCTTCCTCGCCGAGGCCGTTTTGGACGTTCCGACCGCTCGCGAAACGCCCCGTTCAGGTCCAGGGGAGGGGGTAGAGGGGGGTAAACCCCTCCCCCGAAGGGGAAGAAGGGGGTGGAAGAGGAAACACCCTAAACCACCTACGCCCTAAAGGGCTGGTGGGATTTGTTTCGCGACGTCGGATCTCAGGGGTTGTTATTGCGTGGGTGTATAAGTACGTCATTTTCCACTCGGTTGCCAAAGTGGCAACCTTGAGGCTGCCGACACGTTCCTCTGGGTGCGTGGCCTAGCGAGCGAGCGAGAGTGGATCGGCGGTAATGTTTTGAATGAGCAGAACGGCGCAGCATAGTCTCGGTCAAACCAAGAGGTTGGCCTCTGAGCGGGCGGGGCGCGATCTGCAAAAAGCACGACAGCCTGCGCACGCATGATGTACGAGGGGCACACGTCGAGCAAGCCAGCCTTGTGTCGCTGTGCAGAAGGGGAGAGGAGGGGAGGGGGAGGGGATGGGAGGGAGGGGAGGCGTGTCAGTTTGTACTTGCCAGCAGCACTCCGCGAACGCGTTGTCGCCCCCTCTGCGGCGCTCGCAGTCCAGGGAGATGTTGTGCTCGACACGTCACGCTTGAAGGTTGCAGGCGGGATCGTCCTCTCTCGTGGGCGGGCGCCGGGCCGTTCTCGAGCAGCTCCGTGCGTGCGCTCGGGCCCCCATGCGACCCACTGCGTGCACCCAACCAGTCTCAGAGTCCACTGGGCGACGCAGAACAACGGGGTCGTCTTCGCCGATATTCGCGCGTAAGCTGCCTGCGTCAGGTCGTGCGTGAGCGCCCTCGCTTCAAGAGTGGCGTGCCGCGCGGGCGGCCCGCGCAAGCCACCGCGTAAGGTCGCCACATCATCTCGCGCAAGAGCCTTTTGTTTCGTCGCTCAATTGCCTTCTGGGCGACCTTGAGCAAATGGTGGCACAACAGAGCAGAGCGCTCCGTCCTTTGATTGGAATGAACCAAGGCGTTGCTTACTCGGTCTCCTGTGTGTCGCTTGGTGTCAGCCCACGCTTCGGGGACTAATCTTCTCCAACCATCCATCGCCCCACTATCAAGCGAAGCATCTTAGGGCAGAGTCGGCGTAGACACACATTGAAAGAGTGTGAACCGCAGGCGAATTTATATACATGTTAGTCTATGACTACGTGCCGACGTTCACGGAGTTTCTGCCAAGTTTGTCGAATCCATGGTCGCACCAGGGAAACGTAAGATTCGAGTTTGCTGGAATTCGGGTTTGCCGACGCTTTTGGACGAGCCCGTCTTGGATTTTGACCATCCAATTGCCTTGGGATGTTTGCAGAGGGAGCTCGCGTCAAATTTCAGAGTGGGTCTCGTCATTCCCGACGGCCTCGTCGGGCCAACCCGAACCCCCCGAGCCCGAGTCTGACGCCTCCACGATCGGTGACGCGGTCCTCCAGATGCGCTGGCAGAGTCTTCCCCTGACGCTCTGCGGGGCTCTGCCGCTCATGACCCTCAGCATGGTCTCTCCGACGTCGACAGCCATGGCCGAAGTGCCAGACGATTCCATTCCGATGGAGATGCCGCGGCCGGCGCCTCGGGGGCGCGCGCCGAGTGCGGCCAGGTCTGGGCCCCGGAGGGGCCCCGGGCCTTCGAGCTCCCCGCATATGCGGTTGCTGCGAGCAGCGCCGACGTCGAGAGTTTTCTTCCCTCGCGCGCAGAACGTGTCGGAGGTCCGCGCGGATCCCGACGGCTTCTTCTGGCGAAGCGGCGCGGCACGGCTCGTCAGCGAGAGGCATCATAGCGATGCCCTTGCCCCCCCCCCCCCCGCTCGCTGGTCTTCGGCTTTGGGGGGGGGCTTCCCGAGTGGCCCTCGTCGCCACGGCTGGTGAGTTCGCTCGAAGGGGGAGACTCTATAACTCCTCCTCCTCCTCCTCCTCCTCCTCCTCCTCCTCCTCCTCCTCCTCCTCCTCCTCCTCCTCCTCCGCCTCCGCCTCCTCCTCATCTCATTTTTCTCATTTCCCAGGCCGACCAGGTTCGGTGAACAGCTGGCAAGCGGCAATGGGCTGCGGCCTCCAGCAGCGAGCAAACAGGTCATGGCATGTTGTAGCCTTACAGCAGGCGCGATCACCACGGTTCGGACTCGAGCTCGGACCAAAAACCCACGAGATCTTGAACGGAACCTCGTTGTGACCTTTTGCGAGCCTCTTTCTTTCTGGGCTTTCGCCGCCTCCTCGAGGCGGTCGGCAGACGCATTCAAGAACTCAGGAGTGAAGACGAAACGGGCACACACACCTGCTGAGCCGTCCACCTCTCCCCAGACACAACTCACCGCCCCGTCCCCCTCAATCTCTGGCCCGGCAGGATTGAACAGCGAGGCTCCTCGCAGACCAAGGCAGGCAGCACATGCGAGGTCGTGCATCAAAGGCCTGCGTGCGGGCCCAACGACCCAGCCGCCGTACTGCGGGGCCCATCCTGGGAACAGCCCTTCCGACGCACTCTTGCGTTGGCGTCGGAGGGCCACCGTGAGCGACGAGGGCCGACAGGGTTGACAGAGGCTTATGATGCCTCCCCAAGCGTAGGCCCCGCAGCTGGTAGAGAAAATCACGGACGAGCCTCGAGCGATTGGGAAACCGTCGGGCCCGTAGATTCTAGAAAAAGAGAGAGAGAGAGAGAGAGAGAGAAAAAAACAAAAAACATGTGAGAAAGAACATGTTTGTTGAGACACATAAGCATGCCGTAGACGGGCTAACAGCGATGCAGGTTTCGGTGCTGTGGGAACGCGTGGCTCGCGCCGTCCTACAACTCGCTGTGTCGTGCTCGCTCGATCCATTCGCAGATCGGAAGTGTAGGAAAGGGTGGTTCGTGATGTCCTACAACGTTGGTTGAACCAATGTATAGGAAACATGTTCGTTCCCAACATCACCGCTAGGCAACATCGCCATTGGCCCGGCATTGGGCATGGCCAGCTCTGGATTTTCTTCCTCCCCCAGCATCGAATCGGTCGCGACCCAGCGCCTCGGAAGCTGCAGCTGCTGTGACGGTCCTGCTCCGTCGTCCTCACGGTTGAGCTCAGCCTCCGGACGTTGGTGCCCTGTCGGGGAGCAGGTCCGCATCTCTCATTTTTCTGGTGGCCATGCCGACCTCTCTCCTCCCCCTCCTCCTCCTCCTCTGGAGCCTCTGGAGCCTCTGCGGACACAGTCCGTCGTTGAAAGACTGGCCCGAACACGAGCGGATCAGAAGAGGAACACGACGGGCGCAACGACGGGCTCCCCCAAGTGCACCTCCATGCCAGGCACGAGCCCCACGGCCGAGTAGGCGACGGACCACGCCACGGCTGGCAAGGAGTACACGAGCGTCACTGCTGGTTGCAGGACGCCTCATCCTTCATCTCCACAGACACGGGCCATCCTTCACGCTCCAGCCTGGCAAGCTTCCACTTGAACGGCTGTGGATATAGTTTGCGCCTCCTCGATATTCGCTTGGCGTTGATGGCACCGACTGTCTGGGCGTGCAACTGCTGGACCACCGCCAGATCCGCATCCGTGGCGCTGACCCCAGCCTCAGCAGCCCCACCCTCAGAGCCGTCCGTACTGGGGGGGTGGGACCCCAGCACAGGAAACTGCGCAGCAGCCCCACCCTCAGAGCCGTCCGTACTGGGGGGGTGGGACCCCAGCACAGGAAACTGCGCAGCCTCCGCGTCCAAGAGCTCGTGGATCTCGGAGTCTTCCTGCACGACGTGGACGGAGGGCCCCACGGGCAGCAGCTCCCAAGTGCCAGGGACGAACTCCGCCGCATCAGCAGAGAGGCTGGTGGGGGCGCGGCCGACTCCCGCGCGCCGTGCCTCGAGGCGAGGCCCACGCTGTGCTCGGCGAAGCTCGCGAGCGCCTGCTAACGCCACGTCGATCTCGAGGGCCTCGGCGTGGAGCGCAACATTGCGCCGCAGCTTCTCCAGCCAGGTGGGCTCCATCCCGTGGAGCGTGGCCACGAAGGCAGGCAGAAGTGCGCGGAGACGCTGTGCCACCTCCGCATCCCCCACGATGTAGTCCAGGGCCGCTTCCGCCGCTGCCAGCTGCCCGCGGACGGCCTGCAGCTCCTCCACGCGCTGGCCACGGCTCCAACGCGCCCGCGGACGCGCACTGCAGCTCCTCCACGCGCGTGGCCACGGCACGGTCAGCGGACCAACGCGCCCATGCCCGAGAAGCCCGGCGGGCCTCGGCAGAGCGCACTGGGCGGAGAAAAGCTCCGCCCTCCCGCGCCATTCCCAAGTCCGGAACACCTCCAGCAGCAGCAGACCGGTCGCACATGACGAGCCAGCTTGAGCCCCGGGGGCGCGTCCGACGGCTTGAGCCAAAATGGCTACGGATCCTCCTCCTCCTCCTCCTCCTCCTCCTCCTCCTCCTCCTCCTCCTCCTCCTCCTCCTCCTCCTGGCCCTCCCCCGCCTCCCCTCTTTTTTCCTCCTCCTGTTCCTCCCCCTCCCCTCTCATCTCGCTCCCCCGCTCAACGCATCTCGCATCTTGCTCCCCCGCCTAACGCAGAATCCGTCCTACAGTGTGGGAGAGTGCCCGAATCTGCTTCTCGGCCACGTCCGTGGCCGGGCGGAGGCTGGCCCCTTTCTTGGCCAGTTCGTCGACGCGGTCGGAGCCAGGCTTTGCGAAAGCTGTCGAGCGGCCTGCCTCAACGTCGTTCCACGAGCACTGGGCCCTAACCTTAGTGACCGACGGTGGCCCTGAGTCATATACATGGTACACTCGACTCCACAGATGGGCGTTGCGTGAGCCTGAGTCACAGGCCGTGGCGGGGTCTAAAAAAGAACCGATCACTAAGGAAGTCGACGCAGCCTGACGCTGCCATAAGGACGGCGTAATCTTCCCCGTCCCGCGTTGTCTGGAAGGGGCCTAGCTCATACAGCACCGCCCCATGACACCCAGCCACGAACCCCCCCTCGTCGTCGACCATCGCTAGGCGCTAGGCCCCAACCAGCTCTCGAGAGCAGGGGGTCCGTCGGGTTCATGGCAGAGCCATCCGAACAGATATTCTCTTGCACAGGGCGTCTAGAGCTCCGACCACTTTATCCTCTTGCACAGGGTGTCTAGAGCTCCGACCACTTTATTCCGCGTCGCACACACACACACACACACACACACTTCCCCGCGTCCCCAGCGCCAGAGTGGGACCCCCGCGCCGTGGCTCTCTGCCCCGAGCTCCCCCGCCCCGGCGCCCCAGTGGGGGCCCCGCCCACCGCCCCCTCGTCCACGAACGTATTCCTCCTCGCACATCCCCCCCCGTCCCGCGTCCCTGGCGCCAGAGTGGGACCCCCGCGCTCTCTGGCCCGAGCTTCCCCGCGTCCCCAGCGCCCCAGCGGGGGCCCCGCCCACTGCCCCATCCGCCACAAACGTTTTATTCCGCGTCGCACCCCCCCCTCCCCCGCGTCCCCAGCGCCAGAGTGGGACCCCCGCGCCGTGGCTCTCTGCCCCGAGCCCCCCCGCGTCCCCAGCGCCCCAGCGGGAGCCCCGCCAACTGCCCCCTCCGCCACGAACGTTTTATTCCGCGTCGCGACGCACACCACCTCCCCCACCTCCCTCCCCGCGCCCCCAGCGCCCCAGTGGGGGCTCCGCCCCGCCGTGCCCCTTCCGCCCCGACAATGTTATTCCGCGTCGCGACGCACACCACCTCCCGCCCCCGTCCCCAGCGCCCCAGTGGGACCCCCGCCCCGTGGCCCTCTGCCCTGGGCCCCGCCCAATGCCTCCTCCGCCCCGACCGTTTTATTCCGCGTCGCGACGCACACCACCTCCCCCCCCTCCTCTCCGCGCCCCCAGCGTCCCAGTGGGACCTCCGCCCCGCGCCCCCTCCGCTCCGAGCATTTTATTCCGCGTCGCGACGCACGCCAGCTCCCCCCTCTCCCCACCTGTGATTTGGGCCCCGTTGCTGGGCCCCGAGGGGCGATGTTTTGCTCCTCCTCCTCCTCCTCCTCCTCCTCTCTCCTCCTCTCCCCTCCTCCTCCTCCTCCTCCTCCCCTCCTCCTCCTCCTCCTCCTCCTCCTCTCCTCCTCCTCCTTCCTCCTCCTCCTCTCCTCCTCTCCTCCTCCGCCTCCTCCGCCTCCTCCTCCTCCTCTCCTCCTCCTCCTCCTCCTCCCTCCTCTCCCTCCTCCTCCTCCTCCTCCTCCTCCTCCTCCTCCTCTTCCCCCTTCCTTTTTGTGCAAAAGCCATGGCACACGTGCCACTTGTTCCGCGTCGCACCCGCCCCCCGCGTCCCCCGCGCCAGAGTGGGACCCCCGCGCCGTGGCTCTCTGCCCCGAGCCCCCCCGCGTCCCCAGCGCCCCAGCGGGAGCCCCGCCCACCGCCCCCTCCGCCACGAACGCTTTATTCCGCGTCGCCCCCCCCCCCCTCCCTCCGCGTCCCTGGCGCCAGACCCCCGCGCCGTGGCTCTTTGCCCCGAGCCCCCCCCGCGTCCCCAGCGCGCCAGCGGGAGCCCCGCCCGCTGCCCCCCCGCCACGAACGCTTTATTCCTCGTCGCACCCCCCCTCTTTCCCCCCGCGTCCCCAGCGCCAGGTCCCCCGCCAGAGTGGAACCAGCGCCGTGGCTCTCTGCCCCCCCCCCGCGTCCCCAGCGCCCCAGCGGGAGCCCGCCCACTGCCCCCTCCGCCACGAACGCTTTATTCCGCGTCGCACACCCCCTCCCCCCGCGTCCCCAGCGCCAGAGTGGGACCCCCGCGCCGTGGTTCTCTGCCCCGAGCCCCCCCGCGTCCCCAGCGCCCCAGCGGGAGCCCCGCCCACTGCCCCCTCCGCCACGAACGTTTTATTCCTCGTCGCATCCCCCCCTTCACCCCCCCCGCGTCCCTGGCGCCAGAGTGGGACCCCCGCGCCGTGGCTCTTTGCCCCCCCGCGTCCCCAGCGCCCCAGCGGGAGCCCCGCCCACTGCCCCCTCCGCCGCGAACGCTTTATTCCGCGTCGCGACGCACACCACCTCCCCCACATCCCTCCCCGCGCCCCCAGCGCCCCAGTGGGGGCTCCGCCCCGTGCCCCTTCCGCCCCGACAATGTTATTCCGCGTCGCGACGCACGCCACCTCCCTCCACCCCCCCGTCCCCAACGCACCAGTTGGACCCCCGCCCCGTGGCCCTCTACCCCAAGCCCCGCACAGTGCCCCCCCCCGCCCCGACAATTCTATTCCGCGTCGCGACGCACACCACCTCCCCCCACCCTCCTCCCCCGCGTCCGCAGCGCCCCGGTAGGAGACCAGCCCAGTCACCCCGAGCCCCCCCGCGTCTCCAGCGCTCCAGTAGGAGCCCCGCCCACAGCCCCCTCCGCCACGAACGTCTTCTTCCGCGTCGCGACGCACGCGCCCCCAGCGCCCCAGTCGGCCCGAGCCCCCTCCGCCCCGACAATTTTATTCCGCGTCGCGACGCACACCACCTCCCCTCCCGCCGCGTCCCCAGCGCCCCAGTGGAACCCCCACCCCGTGGCCCCCTGCCCCCAGCCGCCCCGCGTCCCCGGCGCCCCAGCGGGATATCCGCCCCGTGCCCCCTCCGCCCCGAGCATTATATTCCGCGTCGCGACGCACACCACCTCCCCCCCCGCGTCCCCAGCGCCCAAGTGGGCGCCCGCCCCGTGGCCCTCTGCCCCGATTAGTTTATTATCTTGCACAGGGTGTCTAGAGCTCCGACCATTTTATTCCGCGTCGCACCGCACCCCCACCTCCCCGCGTCTCCCCATACCCCTCCCCAGCCTTCCCCAGCGGCCCAATGGAACCTCCGCCCAATGCCCCCTCCCCCCCGACTATTTCATTCCACGTCGCACCGCGCGCCCCCTCCTCCCCGCCCCCCATACCCCGAACCAGCGTTTTCCAGCGGCCCAGTGAAACCTTCGCCCAGTGCCCCCTTCCGCCCCGACAATTTTATTCCGCGTCGCACCTCGCCCCCCTCCCCCCCCGCCCCCCTCCTGCCCCTCCCCAGCACCCCCCAGCGGCCCAGCGGAATTTCCGCCCAGCGCTTCCTCCGCCCCGACAATTTTATTCCGCGTCGCACCGCGCCCCCCCCTTCCCCGCCCCCCTCCACCCCTCCCCAGCGTTCGTTCCCCAGCGGCCCAGTGGAACCTCTGTCCAGTGCCCGTTCCGCCCCGACTATTTTATTCCACGTCGCACCGCGCCCTCCCTCCCCGCCGCCCCCTCCGCTGTCCCACCCCTTCACAGCGTTCCGCCGCACCTTTCCCCTCATTCCCCGCCTCTCCCTTCCCACGCCCCCCACCCCAGCATTCAGCGGCCCAGTGGAACCTCCGCCCAATGCCCCCACCCCTCCACCCCGACCGTGCTATTCCACGTCGCTTCGCGCCCCGCGCCGCCACCCCCCCCTTCCTCCGCCACCCTCCCCCCCGCCCCAGCGCTCCCCAGCGGCCCAGTGGAACCACCGCCCAATGCCTCCTCCGCACCGATAGTTGTATTCCGCGTCGCACCGCGCCCCTCCTCCCCGCCCCCTATCCCTTCTCTCTTCAGCTACCCCCAGCGGCCCAGTGGAACTTCCACCCAGCGCCTTCCTCCGCCCTAGCCATTTTATTTCGCGTCGCACGGCGCGCCCCGTCCCCGCCCCCCAACCACCCATTCCCCAGCGTTCCTCGGCGGCCCAGTGGAAACCCCGCCCGCCGCGTGCCCCCTCCGCCTCCGTTCCGGGCCCCTGGTGAGTTCCTCGGATCCTCTGCAGACTTTTTGGGTGTTTCTCGGAGGCCTCCCGGGAGCATGTTGAAAGTCTTGGAGGCCATCTCGTGTGGGGGAGGGCCGTGGAGTCTAGTTACTCGAGCTCGCCCTGTCAAGCCCATCCATCTTGCGGCCCTCGGTGGGCTCTCCTTCTCCGACTTCTCGCACCCTATATCCCTCTCCTTCACCTCCTCCTCATTCCCACTCCCTTCTGTGCAAGAGCCTCGGCACGCGTGCCACTTGTTTCCAGACAGCATGCCACTGGGTGGCCTGTTGATCCCCCACTATGTGAGTCTGGCCGGCACGGAGCGGGGGAGGAGCCAGTTCGAGGGGAGAGGGCAAGATGCCAGCCGAGGTTGTCTCGAGGTCCTGGCCCCAGCTTTCCATCTGCAGGGCAGCGCTCCGCACAAGCGGGGTCGAGCGAGGAGCGGCGCTCAGCCCCGAACGCGTCGCAGCAGACGCGGCGGTGAAAAGGAGTGCCAGGTGCGCTCAGGCAGAGCTTGCACAGCGGAGATGGCGCAAGCCCGTGTGCATGAATCCTGGCGTGCGTCCAATGGCACAGTGAAGTCAAGCTACGAACTGCTTCCTGGTGGTGGGGCGCCCACAGAGGTTTTCGTGGT